TCCTCCTCACAAGATCCCTACATCTGTACATAAGCTTTTTTTCTCTGCTGTGGGCCCTAACTCTGAAACTTGTTCTTGAGTGTAGAGAATTAAGCAACTGGAAGAAATGATGACATGTAAAAGCTGCACAGAAAATTTCAAAAGCAGTTCAAGAAGATAACATACCAAGCATTATAATGAAATGTGCATAGACCTAGCATTAGAAAACCGAAAGGGAAGAACGCAGTGTTTTCTCAAGCTGAAAGAACTGAAGAAAAAATTGAAGCCTAAACTTTGAGTATTGAAGGATCCTGTGGGTAAAATATTGAATGATGCTAGAAATGTCAAAAGAAGATAGAAGGAGTTACACAGAGTGTCTATACGAAAAAAAATGTTCATCCATTGCAAGAGGTACCATATGATCAAGAAAAATCAAACTAGTATTGAAGGAAAAAGTCCAAGCAGCACTAAAGGCATTGGTGAAAGACAAGTCTCAAGGAATTGATGAAATGCAAAGTTAAATCTTTCAACAAACTAATGCAACACTAGAGGCACTTTCTCATCTATGTCAAGAAATTTAGAAGACAGCAACAACCTGGCCAACTGATTGGAAAAGATCCATATTTGTGGGTAAAATTCTAGAGAAAGGTGACCCAGCGAAATACGGAAACGTTATCATTAATATCACATGCAAGTAAAATTTTGCTGAACATAATTCAAAAACAATTACAGCAGTCATCAACAGGAAACAGCCAGGTTCAGAAGAAGGATATTGTTGCTGATGTCAGATGGATCTTGACTGAAAGCAGAAAATGCCGGAAAGATGTTTACTTGTGCTTTATAGACTATACAAAGGCATTTGACTGTAAATCATCAATCATAACAAGCTGTTGATAGCATTATGAAAAATAGGTATTCCGGGACACTTAATTGTGCTCATGAGGAACTTGTACATAAACCAAGAGGCAATCATTAGAACATAACAAGGGGGTCCTGAATGGTTTAAAAATCCAAAAAGGTGTGTGCCAGGGTTGGATCTATTCACCAGATGTATTCAGTCTGTATGAAAACATCATAAATGGAGAAAAGATTGAAGTTGTCAAAGGCTTCAGTTTGTTTGAGTCCACAACCAGTGCTCATGGAATCAGTAATAAAGAATCAAAAGATTGCATCAGGCAAATCTGCTGCAAAAGACCTCTTTAAAGTGTTAAAGAGCAAAGATAGCAGTTTGAGGACTAATGTATATCTAACCCAAGTCATGGTATTTTCAGTGGCCTCATGTATATGTGAACGTTGGGCAATAAATAAAAACTATAGGAAAAGCAATGTATTTGAATTATGGTATTGGAATATTGAAAGTATCATGGACTTTCAAAAGAACAAATAAATCTGTCTCGGAAGAAGTCCAGCCAGAACTCTCTTTACAAGCCAGGATGGTGAGACTTCAGCTCTTGCACTTTGGACATGTTATCAGGAGAGTCTAGTCCCTAGAGGAGGACATCATACTTTGTAGAGTTGGAGGATCAGCAAAAAAAAAAAAAAAGAGGAAGCCTGAAACTCAGAGGGAACCCTTGAGCAGTCTAGTCTGCTCACTAGTGACCACCCTAGTCTTTCTGTGAGTGGAAGTGCAGCAAGGAAGACATGGGCTGAGTCTGGCCATGTTCCCATTGACACCCCTTTACCTTGAGTTAAAGATAAGAGAAAGAAGATGGGCTGACCTGAAGTTGAGAGAGATGTGTGAATTACAGAGCCCATAGGCACTGACCTAGCCACTAGGGACTATAGCTGAGAGTAGCCAACTCCCAAACGTGCACCTAGTACTCAATTGACCTAGCTTAGATGGCTAGATAACCAGAACTAGACCAGATGAAAATAAAGATACTTAATACTGGAGCACATGTAAATTGCTACAGTTTGATCAACTGGACCGTTGTTTATGGATACAGTTGCTCAAAATTCAACCAAAATGGAAGGATTCTTTGTATCAAGGACCAAGCTTGTTTTCTTAGTGCACTGGGTTAATGGGGATGGACAATTTAGACATTGGCTATCAAAATGGGGTGATATAAAGGCACCAAATGCTGGCTTACAAGCTTTCATGAGTGTGCTTAGTTTTTAGAATGAGCGGGCAATGTAGAATCCCCACTGAATAGTTTTCTTCTTTTCCAGATGTATCAGTTGATAGGATTTTATGATTCAATTGTGAATAATCATTAGGATTAATTGCAATTGTCACAACTGTAATTGTAAAAGATGTGTAATTAAAAGGGGGAAGTAGTAAATCTTTCATTTCAGGAGCAGAGGATTCTAGGACCATCAAGAGGGAAGAACATGTGTGGAGCTTGAGATCCTACGTAGCAAAGTGGTGACAGCAGAAAGGGTAGCACAGTCAATGGCATGGAGACACAGAGCAGCTGAGGACTCTAGCCTATGGACTGAGAAAGACTGCAGGCAGGAGACTGGCTTGCAAAATGTGCCCTTTGGACATTTAAATGAGTATATATTTTTGGTTATGTATGTGGTACTGTGGGTTAATGCATTGGACTGCAAAATTGGCTTGAAACTGCAAAGTTGGTGGTCCGAGCTCACCCACCGCTTTTCCAAAACTTCATATAGGGTAACTATGGGTCAGAACTACCTCAGCATTTAACAACAACATGTATACATCAAAATTTTTGTTTTGTTGATTTGCAAAAAATAAGATGTTAAAGGGAAGTCACAGGAAGGAAACAGGAAAATTTGTAGGAAGAAGAGAGTAATCATTGAGATGAAACAAAACACGTGATTGGTTGAAAGTTGATGATCTTGTCTGGTATCCTTCACTCGATTCACAATAAAAAATTTAAACATAAAGATTAAAGAGGAAGATCCTCAACGAGATGGACTGACACAATAACTTCAGACACAAGGCATTAGGACCAGGTAGTGTTTTGTTCTGTTACACATAGTGTCAGTGTGAGTTGGAACCAAGTCAGCAGATACTAGCAACAACAAGGCTCTGATGCCTTTGCATCCCTTCTCAGAGCTTTCCATCACACAGCAAATCAGGTCCAAGCTTCTCTTTATTTCTCCATAACATTTCACCAAGTCCCCTGTAGTCTTACCATTGCCACACCCACACCCACTCCCGGCTAATCTGGCCCCCTTTACCAGTTCCCTTTGAGCTGTCATTTCAGATTCATGGTGTCTTAGTGTATGTACTACCAACCTTTCCTCCGTTCATAATTGAGCACTTAGCCGTTCACTGCCTAGGGACTCCAGTGCACCGTTCTTTGCTTTGGAGTCGTATCAGACAGGCCCAGAATGGACTCACTCTCTGACTCTGTAACTTGTCCCTTTTTTCTTTCTTTAAACTTAAAGCCTGTTGCTCCTCTACCAAATGCAGATGATAATAGATGCTGCAGGTACCTCAGAGGGGTGTTGTAAGTATGAAAATACACTTAGAAAGCACTGAGCCAGTAAGTGCTTAATACGCAGTAGCTCTCAGGAATAACCAATGTGACAGTCATACTGTTTTCCAGTGGTTTAACTCGGGCTAGGCCTTGTACTTAAAATAGTCTGCTGTTATCTTATTCCTAATCCATCTCCTTCTCTTTATTTACATATCCCAAGTCTCAAATCACTCACAAGGTTTTTCTTGATTAACTAGAAAATAGCCATTTCCTGAGCTTACTCCTATGGTTTTCCTTTGGTGTACCTGCCATCCTTTATTTGACTTCATAGTGTAATTAACTTCATAGTATAATTATTTACATATCCAAAATCTCAAATCACTTGCAAGGTTTTTCTTGATTAACTAGAAGATAGCCATTTCCTTACTTTAAGTCCCTAGATGAAAAAAGTAGAGAAAAACGACACAGATTCCATTTGGTAGAGAGTATAATTTGCCCTTGCGTAAAAGAGCATCTACTTTTCTTTGTACCTTTTATACTTTTCTTACTTTGTAGCTCTTTAGAACCAAGTCCAGCACCTAACCATTAGGTGTAAGATTTAGTTAAATGTCTACCATCAGTTGGAATACTGCCACAAACTCGTTTGTTAATGTATTGTTGTCTACGACTGCCTTCATACTGCAAGTTGAGTAGTTGCAACAGAAACTGACCATATGGTCTGCAAAGCCTAAAATATTTACTATCTGACTGCATAAAATGTTTAGTGAACCATGTTCTAAAGAGGTATCTTACTGTTCTTTTCCTTAGGGTCTCATTCATTTCAAACTCTTATCGGAAGAGATGACAAAGATGTCTTCCTTTTTTTCTCTTTTTCCTCCCCTCTGGTTCTCCAGGGTCAGTGCTTCATGGTGGGGCTTAGATGAAGGAGATTTTTTGTGAACAGGTTTTGGGCATTTGTATTAAAATCCATATTTAAGGGTGATTTCACAGTAGTGACCAGTACCCTTCCAGACAAAACCTGTAGGTGAAATTCAACTGCTCCATTGTGGAGCTGTGGTCCTTGACCTGACTTGCTGTTAAATGTCCTTCTCTCCATTCCCTCTGGACTGTGTTTGGCATTGTGTATCCCCTGGAAGGCATTTACAATCCACTGTTCACCTGCACTAACTAGAATGGATGCTTTCTTTTGGAGAGGCTTTCTTTGTGATTGCGTCTTACGGCTATTGTGAAGGGCTATCATAATCACTGTGGTTATATACTCATATTTATAATTTACATTTTATATGTGTTTATCTTATTATTGTTGTGAAGTGCCATCAAATTGGTTCTGGTAGTTCTGAACCTCCAAGCTTGTGTTTTCCTACATTGCCACACTCATTCTTTCAACTAGCTACATATTTATACCAGTGTTAGAGTACTCAGTGATTCCACAGACCTGTCCCCATTAAGTGTCTTTACCCTCCCATTAAGAGAAAAGACGTTAGACCTAGTTTGTTACACATGATTGCTCTATTGATATTTCATATCCTTTGTAGGGTGAGGCATGTTTGTTTGCATTTCACCTGCTTGGGGATCCTTTTCTGATGCCCTTTCCTCATATACTTACAGTACTTTCACGTTTCTCCACAGGTCAGATACCGGGCCCAAGTTCCATGATGCCTGGGCAGCCCATGCCAGGCCGCATGATTCCCAGCGTTGCAGCCAACATCCATCCCTCTGGGGGTGGCCCTACACCTCCTGGTATGCCTCCAATGCCTGGAAACATCTTAGGACCACGGGTACCCCTCACAGCACCTAATGGCATGTGTAAGTAGCATGGTAAGGTGACACATTACCCTAGTCTGCCAGGGAGAAAGTCTATTTTCTGTACCTGACTTTGCTCTAACCCAGCCTCCTAACTTCCAGTAGTTTGGGAGGTAACTTGTGACAGTGAGCCACCGATACTGGTTTGTGGTCAGTGCTCTTCAGCATTCCTGATGAGCAGGTAACACAGGTGAAGAGGGCTAAGTACTAACATTCTGTCAGGCTGTGTGTCACAGCCTTCATTGCAGACACTCTTGAGTACTGAGGTATGTAGAGGTCAAAAAGACATTTCTCTCTCATTCCTGTTTTAGGCTGTTCATTTTGAATCTTGGTATATATATAGAGTTTCTGGTTGTTTTCCCTACAGGAGTCTTTTGTGAATACAAGAGTTCAAAAATAGTTGTTGGAAAGTAAAGTCTAGGAACTGGTAAGGGCAAGGACATCAAGTAAGTTCCTTTATAGCCATGGCTCTCCAGTACTTAGTGGGCCACCTTGAATGAGTTGTGTTCTCTCTTCAGGGCTCAGATTCCTGCACTGTAAGATGACATATGAGAGAATAGGAGTTTACTAGAAACTTTCTGAGTTTGGGATTGGGTGAATTGACCAGCGAGCAAGGCTGCACTTTATTTGCTTTGTATGTTTTCATTTCCGGCAAAATTCCAGCAGTTTTTTAAATCCTGGGTTAAATCATCTGTAGAGTTTCTGCATATACTAAAGCAGCTAAAGTGAAAATAGGAACCCAAGACACTCAGACTAATTGTTTCCTTTAGGACCTGACCTAGTTTTGACCAAAAAAATTGAAGGCCTGCAGTTTAGGAGCCTTGAGACCTCTTAGGAATGCCCAACTTGACACTAGCCTCAAATGAAGCACTCTCACCCTGGTGGAAACAGTTAATCATCAAGAAGTTGTTTTTGTGCCAATTATGTTAGACACTTAACATCAACAGGCTAGACACATGGTATCGTAGTGAGTTATATATGTGTTGGACTGTTAACTAAAAGGTCAGCAGTTCGAATCTGACAGCCATTCTGTGGGAGAGAGCCTTTTCTTTCTGCTCCCATAAGATTTACAGCCTTGAAAACTATATACCTGGTGGCTATGAGTCGGAACTGAACTCCACGGCTAGACACTGGGACAAAAAAGAAGACATAGAATTTGCCCAGGAAGGTGCTTTAGACTGAAGATAGAAAATTGGCAGAGAACCATTAAAATGAAATAAAATTATCTAATTGAATCCTGAAAAGGGTTGGGGTGAGGTAGGACTTGAAGAGGAATGGGGCACTCATACATTGTACCTCCTCAGCTGCTAGGGTTTGGGCATGCACCACGAGACCTGACCCATATAGACTGCAACACCAAAAGGCTTCTTGGAGTGTATTGGAAACTCTCTCTTGAGTCATTTTTCTCTGGATGGGCTATTTCAAACCATGACAAGTTTCTCTTGGATGTGTTTGCAGATCCCCCTCCACCACAGCAGCAGTTGCCGCCGCCACCACCAGCCACAGATGGGGTTCCTCCACCTCCTGCTCCAGGCCCACCAGCTTCTGCTGCTCCATAGCCTGGAAGATGAAGCGAATGGTCATGCCTAGCACCACCAGCTGGAGTGGGGATGACAAGACTTAATCCTCCTCAGCTCCTTTGGGTCACTTCAGGATTTTTCTTCTTGCAACCCCAAGCACGTATCCCTTGTCTCCCATGTCTCCCCATTCCTCTTTCCCTAAGCCCCCTCCATGTTCTTACACCTTTTGTGTCAGGCCCTCAGCCAGCTCTCAAGGAGAAGACTGTGGTGGCAGTGTTCCCTAATCATTCTAAAAGTAACTGGCATCTCCCCTGCCGGGTGGGGGTGAAAGTGGGAGGGTAGGTTGCCAGTCTATGTGGGTTCTGTCAACATTAGTATATCTTTATATGATTTTGCTCTTTTGCAGTATTTTCCTTTGTCTTTTGCTTCTTTTGACAATGCTTTTTCCAATCACCACCCCCTCCTCCCATTGTCATTATTGTTTTAAAAGAGAGCATCCTAATAGGAACCAAAAATAATGGTGATGGGCAGGGGAATAGTCACAGGGGACAAACTTTAAAGCATTATAAGTGACCTTATTTCTGCTTCACTGAGCTCAGAATGGTGCTAATGGTGAGGTCTCCTGAGACATTTGCCATGCTCAGATGCACCAAAATTATAAGAGATGGGGAAGGGGAGGCCCCACTGATTTAGTGCCCTTGTGAGGGTCTCCACCTTGCCTAGCAGAACATACTTCTGTAGCTAGTATATGACTGGGGAGAGCACAAACATTAGAACATATCCACTCCTTCCCCAGATCCATTGGTTCTGGTTTTCTATGCAGATGATTTGTTAGACTGGGGGTGGGTCTTTTGTTTTTCTGAGGGCATTGTGAACTTTGAAGGTTGTAAGTTGGGAAGGTATGCCTTAGTCCCCTAGACTAGCCAGGAAAGGTTTAGGTGAGTCTAGAGCAATGGCCACCCAATGAGTCTAGCCTGTTATTCACTGCTTTGTATGAATTTCCTTTTCTCCTGCTTTAAAAAAAAAAAAAAACTTCAAAAAGGGAAAAAAAAAAAAAAAAAAGTAGATAGTGCTAAACATTTTAGCGTATGGAACCTGGTTAGCATGGCTGGGAGTGCAAGTCCCCAAACTACCTCTTGCAATAGCCAGGGTGAGTGGAATTTAGTGGTGATGCGGTACTTTGTCAGGGCTAGGATTGGAGAAGTGGGGCAGGACCAGCAGCCTCTCGTATTTTCTCCTTTACCTTTCTGAGATCTCACATTCCATCTGTCACAGCATTGTCAAGATTGTAAGGAACCCAAGAGCTCACTGGGCAGTCAGAGCATCTTGTTTTGAGGTTGAAGTGCTCATGCTTAGGGGGAATGCCATTCCAGAGAAAAAGATTCAAACTGCCTTAATTTGAGTCCACTAGCCCTGCTGCTGAGTGACTCTCGAGTTCTTGGTTTTCTCATCTCACCCTTCCTTCCTCCCTCCCCACTCTTCTCCCATGGCGGGGGAAAGGGTGTTTTTGGTAGAACATGGTTTCCACAGCACCTGGCCTAGTCATTTCACATTCTCAAGTGGCAGTTTCATTTTACAGAATGCAAGATGGAACATCTTTTGGATGTCTTTTTTACATATTCTATAAAGCTTTATGGCAAAGGTTGTAGGGAAGTGTTTCTAAAACACCTTAGAACATTTTTCGTAATATAAGAAAGCATAAAAACAGAAAACCACAACTGAGATTTGCCTTTCAAAACCTCAGGTGTTTCCTGTAACCAGATGGTCCTGGTCACCATCAGAGTCCTGGAACCAAGGAGACCTTCGTTCCTTTTATATAGTTGTTCTAGACTTTTGGAGTGGACATGAGCTGGTCCATACTGGAGTTTAGTTCCAAAACATTTGCCTCCTTAAAGACCCCAGTGCCTTTTGAGAATGGCCAGGGTTTTCCCTACTTCCTGCCAGTCTTTCCCAAAGGAGACTCATTCCAAGTACTTACCTTTTCCCCTGGGGTCTTAGAAGGAGAATGGAATTCTGGTTCATACTGTGGTCCCTTGTAACCTCAGGTTTTTAATGTGATCACTTTCAAATTTAAAAGATCCTGGTGGAAATATTTTTACTATGCTGGGGATAAATCTAAAGGATATCTGAATTCTCAACATTGTGTTTCAGTATAAGTGGTGACTTTTTCTTTTCATGTCTATGATCTAGTTTCATTCCTGAAATAGAGCCACCCAATTTTGTGAGATGGGAATTATATGTGGTTTTTGTACAAATGTGTGTTCCCAGTGTGTTGTTATTTTGGAAAAATTAAGGGATTTTTGGGACATAAAAAAAAAAAAGGATCAGGAAGGCTGATCTTTCTCAGTGAATAAATGGAACACCATTTCTGAAATCTTGTCCCATTCTATGCATTCACACACCAGTTTCCTGCAGTATCGTATGAATCTACATATTCAGCCCCACCTGGTTTGGGTCAGTAATTAAAATTTACTGACCTGGAGCTTCCTTCATGAATAAGGTAGAATATTATGTATGGTCAGCAAGGCGGAGGAAATCCTTCAGGAAGGAAGAGTAGTATTTGCATGTCTCCAAGGGAGTAATGGTGTGGAGTCCTGGTGTGGTGCTGTGAGTTAATGCACTGGACTGCAAAGGCAGTTTGAACCACAAGTTCAGTGATTCAAGCTCACCAGTCACTCCTCGGAAACCTTATATACAGGGTCACTATGGGTCAGAACTGACTTGACGGCACTTAACAACACAAAAAAAGGTAATAAGAGTACTGGTGTGGCGCTGTAGGTTAAATGCAGGACTACACGGTAGATTTGAACCACAAGATCAGCGGTTCACACTCACTAGCCGCCCCTCTACAGGGTCTGTATGAGTCGGAACTGACTCAACGGCACTTCACAACTAAGGGAGTAATAAATTCACTTGATAAACTGGAGAACGTTTATTAGGACTGAATTTAGGCATTCCCAAGCTCGAAGAAAATTCCATAAATTTTGACATATTTCAAAGGCAGTGCAGAAAACCACTGCCTGCAAGCTGCTTTTGAACCTGGTAAGACAAAAGAATCAAATTCCATGTGAGCAGTAAGATGAAATGCCCACCCAGCTCCTCACAAAGATGAACCAGATTGAGGAAGAGATGACCAAGACTCCTTGATAAATTTGAGAGTTAAATTATTTTTTGAGCATAGTCAACATGTACAGTTAACCATTTCTCCAGAGACACCTTAAGTTCTTCTTGTTGAGTAAGTCCACTAAATGGAATTAAAAACTGTTTGCCAACTTCAGGACAGACCAGGACCACAGCGGGCTTGTAAACAAGCTGCTGAGTCTTAATAATTTGCCCTTTGCAACAGGTTCACAAGGGATACTGATGCCTACCCTTTAGGAAGCACATATTAAGAATATTTGGTAAACAGTTTTAAAGCAAGAGCTCTATAATACCTTCTAGCTTATCCTATGAGACCATTTGTTCTATACTCTTGATGGTCTGCTATGCCCCAGGCATTGAACCTTGCATACAGTGTAGATGTGACAGAGGAAAGCAAGGTCTCTAGGCTGTTTACATACTAGTAAGTTACAGATACAGACCATGATAATTTAGATAGTGCTAAACAATGTGCTGGTAGCGTAGAGGTTATGAACCGCAAGGTCAGCAGTTCGAAACTACCAGCTGTTCCGCAGGAGAAAGATGAGGCTTTCTGCTCCCGTAAAAGTTTACAGCCTCAGAAACCCTGTACAGGGTCGCTATGAGTCGGAACCAACTCCACGGCACATAACAACAACAAACAATGTTCTGGGAACAACTTCTGGGGGATAAATTATAAATTGGATGGCCTGTGATTTCTGTCCTGTTAAGTTACGGTAATTGGACTCCTGGTGTGGCACTGTCAAGATTAGCACTGGACTTTGAACCACAGGGTCCACAGTTTAAACCTATCGTCTGCACTTCGGAAACCATACACAGAGTTCCTATGAGTTGGATCTGACAGAACAACAATAGGTACAGAAATTAAAAGGTTTTTCCAGAAAAAACTCCTTCTAAATAACCAGAATACGTTTCTTCTAGACTATGTACTCTAGTGCCATCGACTCCAGTTGTTGAATGCCATTGAGTGGGTTCTGACCCATAGAGACCCTGTATAGGGCTTCTAAGGAGCAGCTGGTGAGCTTGAACTAATGACCTTGCAGTTCAAATGGCTCTGCAGTCTGGCTCATTAACTCACAGCATCACACCAGGACTCCATGTAAATCCTTAAAAAGTTCTCTTTCTGCAAACCAGTGATGTCTAGTAGCTTTTTTAAAGCCCTTACTTTCTCATTGGGAGTACTGATGTGGCACTGTGGGATAAGCACTCAACTGCAAGATCGGTTTGAACCACATAGTTGGCTGTTCAAACTCAACAGACTCTCCTTGGAAACCTGATACACAGTTGCTGTGAGTCAGAACCAACTCAATGGCACTTAACAACTTTTTTTTATTGTTGGAAGAACATAGCTCTTGTTCACTGACTAATCTTGAGGTGAGGGCTTCCTCCTGGCTACAGTGTGAAAGCACATTAATCCTCTGTTAAGGGATTATTTCCATTTAAGGAAGTCATCTTTCAGAATAGAATGGAAAGGTATGTTACTGAAGGAAGTGCTACTCTCCTTCAATCCTAGAACCTTTGAGGTTAACCCCATTGCCATTAAATTGATTCATAGCTTCCCTATAGGACAGAGTAGAACTGCCCGGTAGTATTTCCTAGGCTACCAACTGTGGGTTACATGTCAATTAATAGCCAAGTGTTCAACCACTCTTATCACCAGGGCTCCTTTTATCTTTGAGGTTAGCCTTCAACGTTTAATCTTGCAGTCTGCAGCTCATTTGCAGTGCCTTCTTGGTGAGAGAGCCAAGATAATACTGCTGTAATCAAAGTGACTATCGTTAAGTGGCGCAAGTCAGTCCTGACTCACAGCGGCCCTGTATAGGGTTTCCGAGAGCTGCTGGTGAGTTTTAACTGCTGACTGTGCGGTTCAAAATGACCTTATGGTCAAGTGCTTATCCTCCAGCACCATACTGGGACTCCAAGAGACATTAAGTGCCATCAAGTTGGTTCTGACCCACAGCAACCCTGTATAGGGTTTCCAAGGAGCAGCTGATGATGCTAAACTGCCAACCTTGTGGCTCAGACCAACTTTGCAGCCCATCGCATTAACCCACAGCACCACACCAGGACTATAGGAAGAAATAAAATTCTATAAATCTCAACCTAAATAGAGGTTCCAAAACTAACTATACCTAATTCCCTCTAAGTCCTCCAACCCTATCCCATGAGGAGGAGAGAATAAACTTGCAGAACTGGATCCATTTGTACTACCCCAGAGGCCTTTCCCCAGGCCCTTCAAACCTACCTCACTGAGAGTCATTATAGGAAATACTTAACGGAGATTCCAATACCCATGCCAGCGTACACCCTTTGCAGTCCTCAGCAAGATACCTTTTGCACAAAGACCACCACCTTCAGACCACTGAGATGAAAAAATGCCTCCTACTTTGGTTCTGTGATAATCCACCACCTAACAGATGCTCTTGAAAGGTATTAGCTCCGTGGTATAGGCCAGTTTCTGTGGCTAGTTAAGCCCTGATTCTGATGGGTCACTGGTGGCCATCCAGCTTGCTTGTGATATCCCTTGTTTGGTGAGCTTATTTTGTCTTTAGAGGTTGTCAGCTACAGGGATCCTGAGAAACATTTAGAGAGGCCACCTACTGAGACATCACTCAGGTGATGTGGTGCTAATGTGGTTTCCTCCCCCAAATACCTTGGCTTTGAAATAATGAAATTTCAGAGGCTTATTCACTAGCTTGACAATGACCATCCCCAGATTATAAAGTCCTCTATTTGAGGTGAAAGCAATTGCTCAACTGAAAATCCAGAGTTCTATGAAGTGGAGTCCTGGTGTGGCGCTGTGTGTTAATGCGCTGGACCGCAAAGTCAGTTTGAACCACAAGGTCAGCAGTTCAAGCTCACTCACCAGCCACTCCTAGGATCAC